GTTTTTGCAATAGTAATCCCTTACTTTACTCGTTACTTGAAAAAAGTAATCGGGTAACGCGTTGCTGCCCATCTCTGGTTGTTGGTGCTCTGCAGCATTTCCAGCACGTTCTCCTCTGCAGGTTTCTATACATTTAATCCCGTTCATGGGACTGTGGCAGCTCATTGGACATCTTTAACCTTCATTATCATCAACTCAAACCCAAATATCGTCACACAGCGGTCTCACTGATCTTTCATCTTCACGTTCTTGTTCCTGATCGATGTATCCAGAAACTGCAGCATCTAACCTGTGTTCACTCCTTGAGAGAACGAGCACCGACATGCTGTCAGAAGCTTAGCATGAACTTTGAACCTGTTCTCAGTATTTTTCATTCAGGCTGAGGTGCAGCTCGTGTTCGGTCAGATGGAGGTTTGTGTCTGAGCTCTGAGCTGGAGAGAAAAACACACGATCAGCACGAGACAGGAAACAAAAGCTGACATGTTGATAAAACTGTTATTTCAAACAGAGTTGAGTGTGTTTCGTAACTATTAGACCTTATAAGGCAGCAGCAGAGAGAGGGTCAGAGCTGCAGACTGCTGCTGTTTGCTCTGAAAACACACAAAACATCCAGCAGACACACAGCGACCAGCCGGCAAACACTGAGCCAACGTCCAGCCAAAAGCAGAAAATATCACCAACATACAACAACTGTGAAGCCAGCAGTGAGCACGCTCTGAGCTGACATCACAACAGTAACCATCCCAAAGCCCCTCTTGCAAGTGAAGGCCCACCGGAGCCCACTGGAGGGCAGGCATGTATACTGCTCTGTCCTCGCCCAGGACCAGTTTGCCTTGGGAGACCCCAGCAGTAGCTCCTGGGTTCATGCTGGTGTGGTAACCACCACCATGATAAGGTGATTCACAGGTATGTGTGTCAGGAACCACCGCACTCATTTGATGCTGAACAACTACAGATGCTACTGATACTCACAGCCATGTCGGGTGTTACAGGTCATCAGAACAAGGACTGATGATGAAAATACGTTTTCCTCAGTTTCCTCGGAGACACATGATCAGCTGATCACATGATGCCTCTGAGGTGTGCACATGCTCAGAGCATGTTTGTGATGTCACTCTCTGATGGTTGTTTCTGTTTCCTCTGATAGGAGAATGACTGACGTGCGATTGGCTTCAGTTTCCACCGTCTCCAAGGTTACAAGCCTGTCACAAGGATGCGGTTCCCACGGCAACGAGCCTCCAGCTTTCGTCCTTCCTCCCCGTAATGCCCGGGTCACGCTGGGGGGAGAAGCTCGACTGGAGGGCAAGGTGAGACTCTGATTGGTTCTTTTTACCTCTAAACCTGAAACAGTGAACAGCGTTTACACCTCTGAGGTTGTTTAAG